AAGTTCTAAGAATTTATTTTTTCCCAAGTAAGTACAGCCTATGGTCTTTCTTATTTTCTAACCCTTCCAAGCAAAAAAAAAAAAAAAAAAAAAAAGATTTGATGCGATGTCACTACCGTACTCTACAAAAGGTTGCGGGAGCAAAATAACTTGAAGAAAGGAAGAGAGCACATCATTGCATTTTTTAAGTTCTTGTACCACTGTGGATCCCGTAATGGATTTGACAACTCATCTAACCCACCACCGCAAAATTTTGTGAAAACAATTTAGAAAGGCCCACAACTGATCTCATCTACAATGTCTGGTCTCAAATGAGCGGTGCTGATGAAAAAGATCATATCATAGACTTATCAGACGGAACCAATTATTCAAGGACCCTGCTATATTCCTGCTCAAATCTTTGACAAACAGGCCCAAGTACACTCAGTAGTATTTCTCGTGTAGCAATAAAGTAAATGGGTTTTCTCGTGCAGATAGAATCATTCCGCGTTGGCCCACCATAGATGTAACCTTGTTAGAGTAATTTCTTTCTGGAGTCCAATTCAAACACTAGGTTGTCCTTCCGTTGTTGGAGCCCACATCAACTATTAGCCCAATGTACGTACACATTATTAGATGGTTCGTTCGGCATTTTCGCGTTTATAAATGGAGCACTCAACAATAAATGTTTGATAAAAAGCTTATGTTTAGGAAAAAATAAAAATAGGTGAGTTATCTTAAAAAAATATCTGAAAGGTGATTATAAAAGAAGGATATATCTCCTTTTTTTTTTTTAACGAGCTAAAAATAAATAAAACAGAATTTAAAGGTAATATTATAAAAATATTTTTTCTAATCACTTTTTTATTATTTTTCAATGGAGTTTTAAATAGACAATCCATGTCGAATTTATATATTTATTTTAAAAAATAATTTCTTATAAATTCATCTAATAATCGAGACGATCAATTTTTTCATTTTTTTTTGGAATCGAAACAGCATAATACTGAATCAATCAAAGTAACCAGTTTTATTTCTTGCACACAGGATGATGCTTTTGCTTTGTCCCTCGTAAAATGGGAAACGTTGCTTCATCAAAGATCGATATCGAGGAAGACGTGCTGCAGACAACCACAAACAAGGGGTGCTCTTTTGTTTTATGCTATGTGGATTCGACAACCACGATTATATTTTGGAGAGTACTCTTTTGTTGATATCCGAAGAACATCTTCAGGAATTAGGAAATGCAGCAGATGAGCCATTTTTGCAATCATATCAAAGGTGGATCGATATTGACAAAGGTAAGAAATTACCTGTCCTGTCCACTATCACGCATTCGTCAAAACTAACGGAGTCTACGATATATATTGGTAAAGCTAGAAACTAGAATTAAATGTAACTCCATCCATTGTTTTGTAGAAGAGGATACGGAATTAAACCTTGGTTCTCAATCAAAACGGAACATTGATCTTTGCAAACACGAACAAGCCCATGCCCGCTTCCTTTATGGGGTTAATGCATGAAAATGTTAAATGTAAGAATAATTTGCAAGTAGCACCTACAAATAATGTTGGGAAAATGTTGTCTTCGTTTTACATAAATTTGCTACCTTTTTCTTTCACACAAAGCAACTCGTGACTAACAAAATAAAGAAAAAACAAAAAAGCAAATCGTGACAAATTCAAAGCATTTTCGTCTAAAAAGGGCTAATAGGAGGCCCGACTTTCAAAAGCTTTCAAGGGTTCTTTGGTCGTAAAAATAAAAGCCTGAAATCTGTCTGATACATGATATTTATCTACGGTGGGAGAATAAGCTCTTTGATTGTTGGAGTGCTTTGCATGGATGGATTGAAATTTCACATATGTGATGATCAAATGAGCACTTTTATTACGATCCTCAATGAAGCATTATATATATATATATATATATTAGGTGCTGTACTCTCATCTCTTACTTGAAATAGAACTCATTCATGGATACTGCTTTTGTATGAGAAGAGAAGTTCAACTCAAATAATTAGTTATAATTCTTCAATAAAAAATGAGTCATGAAGTCATGATAATATAAAGGAAAAACACTACTTTATCTAAATAAGAGATGGCATATATGGGTGGTTAAACTTCCCCTCCCCCCCCCTCCCCCAAATGAAGTTAAAAAATAAAACATTGCTAATTTCACAATACCGTACAGGTGGAACTATAATAGAAAATGCCTGCTTTGTAATACCATACCCAATCTTTTGAATATATACCTTCGATCCCCAATACACATGTTAAGGCATGGATCATGGATGCATACAAAACGAGAAATTTGATAATACATCGAAGTAATTAGTGACATATATAATAATTACTTACTGAATCAACTTTGAGAAAGGAGATAAATATACAAAAAAAAGAGAGAGAAACATGAGAGAGAAAATAAAAAAATTTAAGTGAAACGTAAAAATCTTTCTTAACACTTTTAATAAGATATATATGTAATTTTTATCTTTTTTTATATATTTATCTTTCTTTTCAAAATAAATCCATGATGTATTATAAAATTTATCCATGCAAAGCTACCATGCTAGAGAGTAATCGATGCGAGAAAAAGATGAGCTGAACCATCATGCACATTTTCAAACCATACGACCATCTTTATTTTGCTATTGTTTTGGGAAAGACCAACATCATTGGCATTATGACTATTTCGATAAAGAGGTTAATTAAAGATTCAAAGCAAGGATTACTCAACACGTTAACTTGAAATGAAACAATTCTAGTTATTTAAATTTATATTTTTAATTTTGAATATTTATATATACAAAAAATTCTTATATATATATTTTTTATATGTTCGACTAAACAAAGAAGAATTAGTTTAAACCTAGATAACTCAGGAATAATAATAATAATAATAATAATAATCGAGGTAAGGGGTCATAAAAAGAAAAAAGGAACTATAAGGAAAAATATAAAATAAAAGGAACAAAGAGCTGCAACGATGTAACACGCATATAGGGTAGAACTATAGGTAGAGTAATCGTGGACCCTCATTTGCTATTCAAGTGTCATGTAACAAAAATCATGTAGCTTTTGTATGTTTTTAACTATCAAAATCATACAAGAAGTACCATTAAACATAAGTTATACGATCTTATACCTGCATCATGAAAAGACCAAAAAAAAAAAAAAAGGGGAAACACAACTAATACAAACTTTGTTCTTTCTAATGTGCAAGCTTATCCGACAACCTAATCTAAACTACAAAACCAGATGGTGTTGTGGCAGCCACACCCATCTTCAGTAAGAAAACTCAGTTTCGAGGAAGAATTGATCCAACGGCTTCTATATTGGAGCTTCAATACGTGCCTAGATCACATCACACTAAGGACATAGCCATAACGTCCCTCTCAAAATGGTGCTCGTGCCCCACCGATTCTCTTGCTAAACGGCATCCCATACACTGCTTTATTTCCAAATAAGCCCACTTCCTTTCGCTAATTACTGGATTAGCCCTCCCGTCCAAGCATCATCCAAAACGGTAACGACCAAGTACTCTTCAGCGGTGCCATTCATTGTGGTCCCCATTTGCCAATACGGTCCCCATTGCTTACGTCATTGAACTTACCATCCACTTTAAATAATCATAACGTATCTCTCGTGTTTATGAAATGACTATCACACCACTTGTCTTTTTGTATCCTCCACTTAAATTTTGGCCTTGATTCCTTTTCCTTTCGGGGCATTCTGGTCAATCAAGAACTCCAACTACCAGTGTTAAGGTTCGCCACAGGCAATTTATATTTCCTCGCACGCAACAATGAGCATTCACAAACCAAAGAAATTACCTACCGTTAAGCTAATGACCATTAAGCCCTTTTGTCCACTGGCCACCTAGTCTATATACCGTCCTCCATTAGACTCCAAAACATCAATTCATAAAGGTCATTTCGTCAAACCACAAAATCGACACGCTGAATTAAGCCAAGAAGTTAGTTTCACCCATGCCACCATGATGAGTCTGTTTCCAAAAGGCCTCCGGATCACGAGGAGGGAACCAAAATTGTCCTTACGAAAAAGAATGGGGACCTTTTAGGAAAAGAACTAATTTAACCCTTACATCTTCACCAAGCCCATAACGTGGCGTTGTGTAAAAAGCATAGCAGAACCTGCAATGATTCATTCCTCGACACGTACCCACCCAGAATGCAGATTACGTTTAATTGCCACGTAAGAATGCACGTGGCAAATCAATCCTAGTCAGCCTTACTCTTTAAAATTCGCACGCTCCTCGCCTCTGCTCTTTATCGTCTCTCTCACAAAATCAAAATCACCACGCAACTGAAAGCTCTCATTTCCATCTCTCTCTTTTTTGTGTATTTTTCCGGTCTTGTCGCTGGCGATCATCTGTTCTCCGGCAGATTGAATCTCTTCACCGAAAAATGGAGGATCCGGCTGGCGATTGTAGTCAGTTGTTCAATTTCCAAAGTGCAAGAGTGACTTTATCATGCCGTCGCGTATTTTGGGAACTTTTAACTGTATTTTTGTAGAAACCCTAAGCAAAAGCGACTTTTACTTAGCAGAGTTTAGAAGTTATTCTATGTTTTGTCTCGCTAACCAGAGGCAAATATAATACTATTGCTTTATAATAATTAGAATCTCTAGAGATAAAGAAGAGGTCTCAACTGTTAAGAGTCGCACAATTAGAAAATTTTGGTAAACGCAGCAATATCCTGGGTTTCCGTGTCGATTTGATTTAGCTGATCTCATTCAGTGTGCGGTTATCAATGTTTCTGCTGCTTCATTGAATCGATGTGTACCGTAGAGCGTTTTAAAGTTGAACTAACTCCTTTTTAGTTTTAGGATTTCTCTTGAATTTCTTCTTTCCTCAATTTGAAAGTGAAGAATATTTTAGGTTTCTTCGAAGTTTTTGTGAACTCTTTTGGCACAAATTAATAATAAAAAAATGGAGAATTTGATAGAGCTAGGATTTTTTTCTTTCTAGTGTTGTTGATCATAGTGATCATGCCTTTTCCAATGAAGATTCAGCCGATCGATTATCAAACACCCGATGAGCCGGTAGCTCACCTGTTCGAGCCAGTAAAGCCGGTGGTGAAATCGCGATTGAAGCGGCTGTTTGAGAGGCAGTTCCTTAAAAATTCAGCTGCTGAAAAGGTCGGAGTCGTCGAGGAGTCGCATTTGAAGGACGTCTCTAATGAGTTCGAGCCGAGTTCGGTGTGCTTGGCGAAGATGGTGCAGAACTTCATCGAAGAGAGCAACGAGAAGCAAACGTCAGTTAGGTGTAACCGTAATCGCTGCAACTGCTTCAACGGGAATTGTAACGATAGCTCTGAAGATGAATTTGACTCATTTGGTGGTTTTGGCGATTCTAACCGTTCCTCTTCTGTTGAAGCGTGTGAAATTCTGAAGGTAATTAAATTTAATTGCGCAAAAAATGATTTTTTTCTTGTTTTCTTTTGGAATTCTGTCAGTGATGGGGTTTTTAATGGGACAGAGTTTGGTGCCGTGTGCAAGTGTTTGTGAGAGGAATTTGCTGGCGGATACAGCGAGGGTTGTTGATAAGAACAAGATCTGTAAGCGAAAAGATGATGTTTGCAGGAAGCTCGTTACTGATGGTTTGTTGAGTCTTGGATATGACGCTTCTGTCTGCAAATCTCGCTGGGAAAAATCCCCCTTCTATCCCGCCGGTACTTTCTCTCTCTCAGATGGATAAACCGTGGTTGTGTCTGTTTCCTAAATTGCGTAAAATATCTTTTAGATTTATATTCTGTTTGGTTCCTGGAACAAGATAATTAACTAAAACCCTATAAAAGTGGAACCATTTCTATCTCATGTGTCGGAAACAAGTAAAATCATTGAACCCAAAATTTTCACTAGTTTAGGAATTCATTATCTGTTTGCTTCATCAGATTTTATGAACTAAAAATGTTAACATCCTTTCTTTATTTGCTGGGAGAGTTTGGAGAAGAACAAGATTGCATGTTAATCTGAATTGTAATCGTAATTGGTACATGCAATCCATTCTAGGAAGTAATGTGAAGTATGTTTTGAATACAGGGGACTATGAATACATAGACGTGATCGTTGCAGGCGAGAGGCTGCTAATTGACATCGATTTCAGATCAGAATTTGAGATAGCTCGGTCAACCAAGACCTACAAATCTCTTCTCCAAACTCTACCTTACATCTTCGTAGGCAAAGCTGATCGTCTCCAGAAGATTATTGCCATTGTATCAGATGCGGCGAAGCAGAGCCTTAAGAAGAAGGGGATGCCCATTCCGCCATGGAGAAAAGCTGAGTACATCAAAGCCAAATGGCTTTCTCCCCACATACGAACCACACCACCACTTATCTCACAAGAAACCGATCCTAAACCAGAAAAGGAGCAAACTTTGGTTCAAAATGGTATCGCTGAGCTTGAACCGAGTTGTCGAGAGAAGAATTCAGTGGAGGATGATACGGAGATGGTTGAGTCTGTGTTTGCTTTATCGTCAGAAGCGTCCGTGGCAGAAGAGGAGGTTATAGAGGTAAAAGAATGGAAGCCGCCTGAGATTAAGCCCAGAAGTTTGCAAACTGGGATTAAGATGGTAACTGGATTGGCCTCAGTTATTGAGGATGAGCCATGAAATTTTGATCCTCCTTCGTTTTGTTTTTTGGTTTTTATATTGAGGAACAGATTATATGATCGTATATGATATAACCGATCAAATCCAAACCCCTTCTGCTTTTTGTGTAAGGGTGTGATTTTACTAATATCAATAAAACTTTACTGTAAGAAGAATGGCTAATACAAATAACATAATTTCTTGATTTCCTTTTTTGGTTAATACCCTCCCTGCTTCTAAGCTGTCTTATTTCTTTTTTCAGATGTCTCTGCTTCTAAGCTTTCTTATTTCTTTTATCAGATGCGGCTCAATGATTCTATGTTTTGTTCAAATCAATTTCAGTTTCTCTTATAATCTAATACAGGGAAGGAGGGGATCTTTGCGTCTGTGCAATCAAGAAAGTAACAAGGGAAAAAGAGCAGTCTCCCTTCTTTTTTTTAAACCGTCTTATGTCATCGGTGATTTTATATTCTTTTCTTGAAGGGAAGCAGACCAGAATTTGATGATGAAGAGAGAACGGACTCGTGCGGTCTCGAGCTGCGTGAGGTAAGGCCTGAAAGAAAAACATTTTTAATATTGTAGTCACATGGCTTCTCAGTTTTCTTCTTCAAGTTTTGTATTTTTATTTTTCTAATTATTCTTGTATTCTAAACCAATGAAGTTCTTTTTTTTTTTTTTAAAATTAGATATTCGGATTAGTTTGCTATAGTTTAGTCTTCATTCATATTACAGTAGTTGCTTGTTGTGGAATCTCCGTAAGAGGAAAGCAATTGGTCATGGGTGTTTGGCATCTTTCTTTGCCGTGTGGCCTTTGTAAATGAGTTTGATAACTCAACTACCCTTTGATCATAAAAAAAACCCTCTACTCTTTTTGTTTTTAATGGTCTGATGATCAATGCTCAATAATCTATATGAGAACGAGGAGTGAGAATAGAAGGGATGAAGATTTGTAGGTGTGAGTAACTAGCGATTAGATTTGGTTATTTTCAATAATCAGGGTCATTGTATAATAATTTGCGTTATGGCTATGAATTTAGCATATGTGTGACTATGCATTGCAAGCGTGTGTGTGTGTGTGTGTGTGTGTGTATGTATATTTCTTGGGCATGAACAGACTTTCGTCATTGATTTGTGGATTTGATTGGTTCCAGTTGAAATAGGTGAAAGTCAATAGCGTATAGCTTGCTCTTTATTTGATCATTTAGTACCCAACATGTTTCTTGTGAAGTGAACATTGCTTCTGCAGCACAGCCATGTGGGGATGCTTAAGCTTGATTCTCAGAGTGTTATGTTCTTATTGTGGAAGCAGTGAGCTAAGATATGCCATTATCCTTGGAAGTTCCTTACCTACATAAAAATTGTGTCTGCAACAAAAACCAAGTTGGTCCAAAAGGCTTGTTTTAAATACTGGTGCGAATAGATTTTTCTTTTCATGAATTCATTTTTCGGGTTTTATTTTTTTCTGTTCGTGAGTGAATGTTTTAGTACTAAGAAAACTTGATTTATGTTTTGTGTACTTGAAGCAACACCGACAAATTCAAAAGTCTTCTATTGCGGAGTGACCCAGCCAAATGAAAGTTGCTTGGGAAAGCAGAAAAAACCTTTTTCGTTACTTAAATTTCACGGGACTAGTTACTGTGCCCTTATCTGTTTGAATATCTGTAGTTGGAAGGCACAAGGAAAATCCTTTTGCAGGAATTGTCAGTTTCACCTCGTCATTACTGACTATTTACCCTCAAGCAGTGGATAGTGTGAATTAACGCTGGCATTTCAAGGATTCGAAACATATAGTGAAGGAAAAAGCCTTAATTTTTTTTTGAAGAAAAAAATTGTCTGAACCAATATGGGAAAAAGAATTTCTTTCCCATTGCAAAAAAAGAAAAATAATAAAATAAAATAAAAAACTTCCCTAGGTTGTATGGATGGTGGCCGCTGAATTTTCAATTTGCTCGTCCCGTGCAACTTGTCTTGACTGTACGCTGAACGGTACGTGCTAACATGCACCTGTGCTCAATACTAAACCGGGTCCACAATATATTGAACAAATTAAAGAGGTTTTTCTATTTATATTTTTCCGTCACTTTTTTATCGGGTTTCTATATCGCAGATAAATGAGTGATGGCTTGTTGTAAAATTTATATATTTTTTTCTAATCATGGTAAGATTTGGACTTTAGTGTGTGCACCTACGTGGGTGGTACTTTATTTATCTATGTATGGTGTATACTACTAGTAGTATTGTAATATTAAACCCGTGGATCCCCTATTCTTTTTTATCATTTAGGTGCCAGGGTTCTCTTTTGCGGTTCGATGCACGAAAACAAAGTCTTTAAACCATATCCACAGCTTGACATTAATATTACTTGGTGAAAACAACCTTCTTCCTACCCTTGTCTTTTAATTAGCCTTTTTCTCCCCTTTCTCGTAGAATTCCTGTTGGATTTTTCTATCGGGAATATAATAGTGTGGAACGTAGACAAATTGGGCGTTACAAGTTGTTAAAGTTTGTGATTGCATGTTTGGTAGTCAATTGCCATTATATCTGAAACCTTCCTTAATACTCACAATCTCCATTTAAGAGTTAAAACTTATTCGGACAGCCATACTAGTCCATCCTGGTTTCTCACTCTTTTTGCAACTTGTTTGCAACGACAGCCATGCTAGTCCCTCCAGGTTTCCCATTCTACCAGTTTTTTACAACTTCTACAAAGTTTTACAACTTGTTTGGTATTGGAGATAAGTATACAACACTCGCAAATGTTGGTAATGGACAATGTGATTCAAAGTCAAATGGTTTAGTTAGATAGGAGATTGACACGAGAGGAATTGTCTTCCCCTTGCAAACAACTACCGCTCCTCTCAAAATGCAACGAACTCATTAATGCATGCAACTCCAGATAAAAAAGAAAAAGAAAGAGAGATTAAACCACTATAATAATGTGTAGAAGTGACTAGGTTTTTTGTCCATACTATGTCATGCGGATAGGATAAAATATATAAAATTATTTAAAAAAATTATTTTAGTTTGATAGTTTGTTTTATAGTGTGAATATATAAAAATATATGAAATCAAAAGTGAAAAAATATTTTAAATTTTTTAATGTAATTTGAAATTAAATAAATGAGAATTTTTTAAAAAATGACAAATTAAAGTAGTCAATTTGAAATAATAAAATTAATAAAAAAAATTAATTTAAAAAGTAAAAAAAAATATTGTATAAATTATAATGATATATTTAAAAAATAAAACACTCATGTAGAAAAATATGAAAGAAGAGAATACTAGTTGTATTTGCCGTATTGGATTCAAAGTGTTACAACCTATATATATAGTAAATAGACTAGTCTATTTAGGAAGTATTAGCTGTACAAAGAGACAAAATTCCCTAACTTAGGTAACATATAACCTTTCTATATTTACATCATAAATTACTCTATTCTTAATTATTTTCTTTCAACGCTCCCCTCAAGTTCGGTTTGTAAATTGTCTTCCATGGCCAGCCTTGCTTACAAGATAATCAAATTGAGGTTTAGACAATCCTTTGGTGAAATATCGACTACTCGTTGATTTGTAGGTATGTAAGGAACACGATTAAACCATTCTCAAGTTTTTCTTTGATAAAATGTCCGTTAACTTCAACATGCTTCGTCCTATAATGAAGAACTCGGATTCCGAGCAATTGAAATCACGAACTTTATTGTCACAATACACTTTTATAGGAAGTAAAACTAAGAGCTACAAATCTTCTAGTAATCTCTTAATCCATATTATCTCACAAATGTCATGCGCCATAGATCTAAATTCGAGCCTCGCATTACTCCGTGCTACAAATTTTGCTTTTTACTTCGCCAGTTGACTAAATTTTCAGCAACAAAATGTAATGACTCGATGTTGATCGTCGATCGCCTATGCTTCCCGCCCAATCAACATCGGTGTAAACTTCTATCCGAACATTATCACTTTTTCTAAACATCGACCCTTTTTCGAGTGTCCCTTTAAGATACCGTAGAATTCGTATGCGATATCAAAGTATTCTTTGTCCGAAGCATGCATAAATTGACTCACCATGCTTACGAGTAAATGCAATATTAGGACGAGTGTGTGATAAGTAAATAAGCTTACCAACTAGATGCTGAAATTTTTCTCTTTCAATCACATTTTCGGTAATAGTTGGGCTCATCTTTAAATTAGCTTCAATTGGAGTCTTGGTCGCTTTACATCCCAAAAGGCCAATTTCATTAAGTAAATCAAGAATATATTTTCTTTGATTTACAAATATACCTTCTCTTCATCTTGGAAACTCCATACCTAGAAAGTATTTCAACACTCCTTGGTCTTTAATTTCAAACTCCTCGACCAATCTTTTCTTTAGCATTGATAATTCATCAAGATCATCACTCGTCAAAATTATATCATCAACATATATAATTAAAATTGTAATCTTGCTTATCGGAATGTTTATAGAACATAGTATGATCGACTTGACTTTGGCGATATCCATAGCCCTTTACTACCTTCTCAAAACGTTTAAACCATGTTCTAAGAGACTTTTTAAGACCACACAAAGACTTCTTAAGTTTGCACACTTTATTTCGGCCAATAGTACTTTCCAAACCTAGAGGAAGGCACATGAATACTTCTTCTTCCAAGTCACCATTCAAAAAAGCATTCTCTACGTCTAGTTATTGTAGAGGCCAATTAAAATTGGCTGCAGGAGACTATAACACATGAATGGAGTTAATTTTTTATACTAGAGCAAAATTTTCTTGGTAATCAATACCATAAGTTTGAGTAAACCCCTTAACAACAAGTCTTGCTTTGTATCTTTCTACACTTTCATCCGCCTTATGTTTTACGAGTAAACACCCATTTATACCCCACTATTTTTTGATCTTTTGGTAATTCCATAGTCTCCTAAGTCCCATTCTTCTTTAGTGCATCAATCTCCTCAAAAGCTGCTAATTTCCACTTTGGATCATCAAGTACTTCCCGAATGTTTCTCGGGATAAACAAGTTAAATT